CCTGTGCTCCTCCGGTAGCGAGGCTGGGGTGTCTCTTCGGGGCTGGAGTTGGGGGGCGGGGAGAGGAAGGGGGTTTCTTTGCAACTTTTCTTTCCTTGCATCAGGGGTTTCCTGCCGGGAGCCGCCGGGAGCAGGAGAGCGCTGCATGTCCCCGCTGTCCCCCCCCAGCCCGCTGCCCTTGGAGATGCCACCCCAAAGTGCTGTCAGGACCGACCCCACATCTGGTCTCCCCCATCCTACCCCCACCGGAGCCGGCAGAGGCCGGGGCTGTATGGCGCTGTATGGGCCTCCTGCTGCTGCAGGTGCCCCCTGCTCCCTGATGCCCCCTTGCCAGGTGCTCCCGGATCAGTCCTGCCTTGTGACAACGCAGCACCACCCCCCCCTTGTCCCCATCCCCCTGCACAGAGGTGCCCCCCCCCTGGTCCCCTCCCGGGTCCAGGGCAGGGGCCTTGTCCGCTCCAGCTGGGCCCTGGCACCGTGCCCCCGACCCACATGCTGCTCCCCACCCCAATGCAACCCAGAGGGGCTTGAAGTCTCCCCTCCTGCTCAGAAGCAGGTGAGACCCCACGGGGCACCCCCAGCCCCCTGCCCAGAGCAGCTGCCTCCCCCGTGCCCGCCGCGTCCTGGGCTTGTTTTCAGTTGCCTGCGGGTTTATTCAGACAACTCAGGCAGCTAAAGCAAGTCTGGGACGGGTGAGGAGACCCAGCCTGCTGGGAGGCAGGTGATATGGGGGTCCATCACCCCCTGTAACCCTTCTCTGCGTCTCTTGGGGAGGAGGAGAGGGGATCTGCTGCCCAACCCCACCACGCTGCCCACCCTCTCTCTGCTTGTACCATGTCTGTCAAGACCCCTGAGCCTGGGGTCTGTTGCATGCAACGAAGACAGCAGGGAAGGGTATCGCCTCGTGGGCACCACTGCAAGCCTCCAGGTAGGGCTGGAGCTGGCACCTGGGCAGGAGCAGGCCAATTCTGCAATGATATCAGCTCCTGGTCAACAACAGAGACCAGGAGGGAGCTCGAGCTGTGCAGAAACTGGCCCCTTTCCGGACTTCATCCCCATTTCCTTTAATAAAGGCTCCTTGTTGTAGGGCAGACTGTGAGTCCGTGGGGGCAGGGAGGGCAAACGGGGTGCTGGCTCCAGGTAGGGGTGCCAGCTGGCTCAGGATGAGGACTGGGGATAGATGCTGCTGCCTCTGGGGAGCTGGTTGGAGCGGCTGGAGTCAGGGCAGTGCCAAGGAGTCAGCCCCTTGTCTCCCTTCCCAGCCCAAGGGGGAGGCTGGAGCCAGGGATGCTCCCTGCTGTGCCCCGCTGCCAGGGGCTGCCCCAGCTGGCCCAAGGGGCGGAAAGCTCTGCCCTGGGCTAAGAGCAGCCCTTCACACCTGGCTTTGCACAAGGGGCCCCAGGGTGTCTGTGCATGTGTGTGTAAATGTACATTCATGTGTGTGTATGTGACCACACAGGTAAGTGCATGAGTGTGAGAATGTGCATGTGTGCGCATGTGACCACGCAGGTGAGTGCATGTGTGCAGGAATGTGCATGGAGGTGTACGTGTGCAAGTATGCATGTGTGTAGGTGCACAAATGTGCAGGTAGGCGAATGCCAGTGTTCAGGTGCGTGCATGTGGGTGCGTGTGTATGTGTGTGTGTGAATGTGAATGCAGGTCTGTTTGTGTGAATGTGTATGTAAGCGCATGCCTGTGTGCGAATGAACATGCGTGTGCAAATGTGCAGGTATGCACGTGCACGTGAATGTGCATGTGTGTGCCTGCGTGTGGAGCGCAGCCCGCACTCTGCCCTGAGCCGGGGGAGCCGGGCTGCCCCACGGTCCACGTGCCCCCGCTCCCGGAGCCACAACGGCGAGGACGCGGTGGTCCCTGAGTCACTATCGACCTCTCCAGGCCGCGGGGCAGGTGCGTGGCAGCCCGGAGCCCCCACCCCTGGGAGCAGGAGGGGTCCGTCGTGGGCATCCCCAGCCCCTGGCTCCAGCAGCTGCCCCCCAGCCCAGCACCCCCAGCCCCTCCTGGAGCAGGCAGCCCAAGCGGGCCATGCCCGTGTCCCGGGGTCCAGCAGGCCGACCCCAGCCGGGGCAAGGGAAGAGCAGACCCGGGACTGCCCCCACCCCCGCATCCAGGCCGGTCTCCAGGCCGCCGGGCAAGGGGCTGGCAGCTGTTTGCAAAGAGTTAAGGAGGCGGAAAGGCGGATGCGCTCCATAGAAACCCGCGGCCTGCCAGGCAGATCGGGCGATAGCTGGCGGGGCTGGGAGGGGGGGGCTCGGCCTGCAGAGGAAATTGCACCCGTCGGGCCCCGCAACCCTGCCCAGTTGCTTGGAAACTGCCCCCCTCCCCCTGGAGCTGCACCCCCCTCCGCCTCCCCCTGATAAAGTGCAATAATAATAATAATAATAGGGGCAGGAATAATAAAGCATGAAGCCGGCGGGCAGCGCCCACCGCTGCCATGAGACACGGCG